TCTAGTCTGAGAAATTCTGAATCTGTTTCTAATTGGAAAGTGAAACATAACAATGGCTGAAAACCAGCCTCACACTGGCAGGATTCCCTCTTCATGTCCCCATCCCAGGGCAGCTTCCTCCTGCTCTGTTTTTCTGGATGCTATTTTGCTCCAAGTTCCTCCCCCACCCCCATCTTTCCTGGGGCTCTGAGCCCAGTTGGAAGCACGGGCTCTGTTTTCTTACCTGCTCTTCTGTTGTGTTTTATTGTCTGCCTGGTACTAAGTGAGCAGTGCCCATGACTGACATGCCTTCCTGGGGGTGGTGCTTCCTGAGTGCTGCTCCCACATCTGATTGGCTCATGTTTCCCAGGCATAAGGATGGGGGGGGAGGGTAAATTCTCTTGCATGGGAGACACTGCAGCCCATTTCTGTACCCAAACTGTCCATTTCAGTCTGATCTTCTGGACGATGCTGACCTGTGCTCAGTCTTCACCTCACCCAGGTCCTGCTCAGTCAGGGCAGATATGCTTCAAAAGCCAGGACTCAGGCTGGAGGACATTGCCACCATGGTGGTCTCAGATCCAGAAGGCAGGGGTGAAGGGCTTCAAGGAGTCTGTACTAAGTGGGGGAAGCCCTGCCCTATCTACCCTGATGAAATTCTTTTCTATTTGATTTTTGGTATTTGGGATTGAAGCCAGGCGTGCTTTACCACTGATTACATCCCCAGCCCTTTTATTTTGTTGTATTTATTTTTTGAGACAGGGGCTTACTGAGAGTTGCTTAGGGCCTTGCTGAGTTCCTGAGGCCAGCCTCCACCTTGCAATCCTCCTCACTCAGCCTCGTGAGTCCCTGAGATTACATGTGTGCACCGCTGGGCTCGCTCAGCTAAAATTCTTAAGTCTGGGTTGAGGAGTGTCCTTCTAGCCTTACACCCACTCCCCAAGTGCCATATAGCACCGCAGAGAAACAGATGTGTGGATGGGAGTGTCCCCTGACTCCTGGATGGAGGAGCAGGCAGAGGGGCAAGGACATGCGAAACACGAGCAGTATTCGGGAGGGACGGGGAAGTGTTGATGACTGTCTCCTAACATCATAATTCTCCCCACCCCCGCTTTAATTTTGGTACTGAGGATTGAACTCAGGGACACTCGACCACTGAGCCCCATCTCCAGCCCTAAATTGTATTTTATTTAGAGACAGGGTCTCCCTGAGTTGCTCAGCACCTCACCATTGCTGAGGCTGGCTTCGAACTCAAGATCCTCCTGCCTAACCTCCCAAGGCACTGGGATTGCAGGTGTGCACCACTGTGCCTGGCCCCATTTTTAATTATAAGTATCAGTACATATTAATTGTACAAGGTAATGGGCTGCATGGTGACATCCTTCACACCTGCATCTAATGTGATGGAGTATTACCCAGCTGTGAAAAAGAATGAAGTTATGTCATTTGCAGGAAAATGGATGGGACTGGAGAACATGGTGTTAAGTGAAATCAGCCAGATTCAAAAAGCCAAGCATAACATGCCTTCTCTCCTAGGTGCAATCGAGGGGAGGAAGAGATGACAAGAAAGTAGAAGGGGACCATTAGGGAGGGGACAAGGGAGGTGAGGGAGAGTAATGCAGAGAGTGGGCACCATCAAAGCACCTGGCCTCCATGATTAACTCCTCCACAAGACGGTTCCTAAATCCATCCACAGATTCTTACCCCTGTTCCCACTTTTACCCTCCAAAATGACAAACACAACGTGCCTCTGACTATAGAAACTTCAGGAAACACAGGTAAATAAAGAGAGGAAAGGCGTTTTTATCACAGTCCCCTCCCCCGCGGACGGTGCTCTCCCAGGTTTCCTTGGCACCTTCACGTGCACAGGGGCCGGAGGCCTGCGTGACACCCCTGTGTCAACACTTCGTTTTAGGAGCCTGGTGGGGTTTCCTGCAGCCAAGAGGAGCCACAGAGCTGGGCGCACTCCGGACAGGACCACGCTCTGTCCCGCGTCAGCACTCACAGTGGTAAGCGCCTCCTAAAACCCGGGTCCTCTCCATATCCCTTCCCCTGTGAGAACTCGAGATCCTCCTGCCTCAGCCTCCACAGCCTCTCTCCCACTCTGCCTCGAGACCCTCACAAACCTCTCTATCGAGTCCCCAATCCCTTTGAACATTAACCACTGAAAGTGGCCCGGGGGTCCTGGCGTTTCTCCAGTCCTCCATGGGCTGCGTGGCAAGCCAATGCCCGCCAGGCCAGTCGCCTAGCCACCTTCCCTGCTTCCTTCCTTCCTGCTCCCATCACCGGCGAAGAGTGGCACGTGCAAGCGCATGTGCATGTACGCGCGTGTGTGCGTGCGCATGTGTGTGTGTGTGTGCATGTGTGCGCGCACGTGTGTGTGCACGTGTGTATGCACGCTTGTGTGCACATGTATGTGTGCGCGTGTGTGTGCGTGTGTGTGTGCATGTGCGCATATGTGTGCACTGTTTCCAGTCGCTAGGGTACGAATCTCGAAGGGAGGCAGCCTCCCCGGGAGGAGGGATTCTGTTTCACTTAGTTCCGGCCTCCAGGGAGGGGACTGGACGCGCTAGGTGCGCGCTAGATATTCGTTGAGGGAGTGGACACATTATTTCACTATGACTCAAAACAATGCTATAAATGTCCTTCTGGCCGATCCTTTGCACACATTTGCAATGATTTCCTTTTGATCATCTTCCAGAAGCAGAATTTACTGAATCAAAAGTATCATTTTCCCCTTTTTTAACAAAAAATTATTTTATTATTTTTTATTTTAAAGCGTTTGGGCCGGGAACAAGGGAAGCGCTGCTTGTCCGTGGATCAGCAGATGCGGGGGCCCAGGGATGGAGGGGACGGGGCAAAAACAGAGGAGAGTGAGGAGGGGGTTGGGGGACATTCTGCATCTTATTGGAACAGTGGACACACGACGTCATACACCTGTCAAAACAGACCACAGAATGGACTTTAATGAATCCAATTTGAAAAACCATGAAATAAAACATCATCTAGGACCAAGGGTCCCCGGGAGGAAGGCGGATTATGCCAAAGAACTTGATTTTATTCCAAGGATTTGAAGTGACCACAAGGAGGGGAAGCCAGGGGGGCGGGAGAGGGACTGATCAGATGGCTTCAGAAATAAGTGGGGTCCCGTTCTGGAAGCAGGAGGGAGGCACACAGGCGTGGTGCGCTAAGCCGACGGAGTCGTCCCCATCAGGGCGCAGGGAACAGCGCTGACACCCATCGGTCCTGTGTCCAGGAACTGAAAACAGAATGAGGGGTGGAATCAGGTGACGGTGACAGCAGCCAATTCCTCGCCATCGGGGTGGGAGGTCACAGGGCAGGACTCCGACGATCCGTGTGTGGAGGGTGAGAGATGGGACTTCAGTGTGAGCGCCCATGCAGCCCATTGTGGCCACCGAGGGTTCCACGCAGAAGAACCTGTGGCCACGCGTGACCCTCAGCCAGCGGGTCCACCCAGGGCGCAGAAGCAGCCACACCCAGCAGCAGCGAGGGCACCTGATGCCCGGCTCTGGGTCTCCAAGCCATTCTCCAAATAAGAAGAGCTCGAGGTTCTTGGAGAAGTGACCAATTTACTGAGAGGGACACTAAATACACAAGAGGAGCCGAGGTGTCCAGCAGTGCCAGGTTGTAAGGAGGCGCTAAAATCGTGAAGGTCATCACAAGAGCTCCCGATGGCCAAAGCCGGAGTCACGTGAGCAAGACAAGAGGAGCTGGATCCTGATCCGCAGTAGACAACCTAGTGCCCAGGTCCACACTGAGGCCAAGGACCGGGGAGTTGGTAAGGGCGTCGGAGGAGACGAATCTCCGCAGAAGGAAGCTCACAGGCCCTGAGCAGGGCAGAGCTGAACTCCCGCTTTTGGGGCAGAGGCTGTACTGAGGGCCTTGGCTACAGTGCGCATGGGGGTAATTTTATAGTGGAGACCCCCAATAAGCACTGCCTCCGGCCCACGATCAGGCCAATTCCCACAAGTTGGGAGCCTACACCCTTGAGATGAGGTGAGGAGATTGTGTTTACCTCCCTGGGCTTTCTCGCCTGAATCTAAAACTTAATCAATTCATGGGAAAAAAATATCAGCGGTGGCACAAGCCTGTAATCCCAGCAGCCCGGGAGGCTGGGACAGGAGGATCACAAGTTTAAAGCCAGCCTCAGCAATTTAGCGAGGCCCTAAGCAACTCAGCAAGACCTAGTCTGTAAATGAAATATTAAAAAGGGCTGGGGATGTGGCTCAGTGGTTAAGCACCCCTGGGATCCATCCTCAGGACCAGGAAAAAAAAAAAAAAAAATATCTGACAAATCCGAGCAGAGGAACAGTCTGTAAAATTCCTGCTCAGTACTCCTTGAACTTGTCAAAGACCTTAAAAACAAGGAGAAAAGTGAGATTATCACAGTTGAGGGGAACCTAAGGAGAAGGGTCAACTATACCCAGTATGCTATTCTGAGGGGGACCCAGGACCCAAAAGGACATTGATTAAAACTAAGAGAACCTGAATACAATGTGGACCTTGGTTAATAACAATGCTTCGATATCTGTTCCTTAGTTAAAATAAATGCACCATATGATGGTAATACTCTGCCTGTAAGTGAAGCCGAGGATTCTCTGTACCGCGGTCACACCTGGTTACTCTAGAACCACTTTTAAAAGCAAAGTCTGGGGCTGGGGATGTGGCTCAAGCGGTAGCGCGCTCGCCTGGCATGCGTGCGGCCCGGGTTCGATCCTCAGCACCACATACCAACAAAGATGTTGTGTCCGCCGCCGAGAACTAAGAAAAAAAAAATAAATATTAAGAATCAAACTGTGAAAGATGATGTATTAAGAACTGTGTAATGTTTTGAACGACCAACAATAAAAAAAAATAAATAAATAAATAAATAAATATTAAAAAACTTCTCTCTCTAAAAAAAAAAAAGCAAAGTCTGTTTTCAAACATTGCCAGTCAGATATAGATGAAAAATGGTCTTTCAGCTTTTTAAAAATGTGTCTGCATTTGTTTCTTGACAGAGTGACATCCTTTGCCGTGTGTGTCCACCACTTTTATGTCTTTGTCCATGGATCGCCAGCTGTGACAAGCCACTGACGTGTTACAGGTATTTGTTACGCGCCATATCTAGCTGATGCAATCTTATTGCTGCCATGGCCCTGAGGGGTATTATTCGTCTGTTTTCCATTATAGAAATATTTATTTTACAGGTAAAGATGGGAAAGCTCAGAGATGTAAAAGTATTCACCATGGCATCCTGTCTTGTCGGGGGAGGGGAGGGAGGTCTGGGCGGCCATGAGGAGGTCTGGCGACCACCTGTCAATTCTGGGCTTTCAGGGACAGTGACAACGTTCTACAGAGAAGCACCACTCAGTCAGACTCTCTAGAAAGTCCCTGGGTGGCTAGAGTGAGAAATGTTTTTTGAGGGCACCAAACCTCCTGTCCCAGGCAGAGGGACTCAAATAGGTCACTCCAGACTCTGCTGAGGCCAGCAAAATGGGTTCTCTGGAGTTATGCCTAGAATAAATGTAATTGTCCAGGGCTCGGAGGCAGCCCAAACCCATGCCATTAATTATCCTAATTTAAGGTTGAGGCTCTGAAATCTGTACCCACGGAGGAGAATCTCTGTCCCCAGAGACCTAAACAGCACCAGAGCTGAGGGACTCCCTCACAACTACCTGTCTCTGCATGGCCGGGCCTCAAGGACCTAGGATACAGAGGGCCCCAGGTGTGGGGGTTCACAGCCGCCAGTACCTGTCCACTCAGGACTTGACCTCAAGGGGCTGGTCTGAAATCCAGCAGGTCTGCACCCAAATGACCGGGCTTGTCCTCTGCGTTATCTTCTTGATCCTGTGCAAACTTGAGCAAGTCAGCTGACCTCTCTGGTCCTTGCTTTGTTCTGAACAGAATGGGAGCCTTTGCTTTTCTGACCTCACAGAATTTTTCAAAGGAGGGACCACAGTGTCATGGCTCAGAGCTCTTGCTCTTTCTGTAGGTCAACACCTTGTGCCTCGTCTCAGTTAGAACTCCCAGCAATCCGTGGGGGCATGAGCTCAGATCAGCCTCAGTTGGAGGGCGAGGAAACAGGTCCAGAGAGATGACTTTGCTCATCCGAGATCACCAGCTTGCAAAGATTAAGTCTGAATTTAGAGACCGTCCCAGTCCCCTGAGAGTTTACACCACGAACCGCATTCCAATGTGATGAAGGTCGGAAGGAATGTCCCAAGGAACTTGAGACTCCAGGCTAGGAGGCTGCAAGGGCGCAGCCCAGCTGATGGCTTGGACCTGGTATGGCCGCAGGCTTGGGGGCCACTGGGGGGTTTGGAGGGGCAAGGTGGCCGAGGGGCGGAGAGAGAATCCAGCTGGACTCAAGAAGCCTGGCAGAGAGAGCTGGGGTGGCTGCCAAAGCAACAGAGATTTTGGGGGCACAGGGACACTCACAGGGGCTCTTTAAGAAGATTTGCTGTCAAATAGGCTTTGAAATCTCCATCCTCCGGGTCACACGGCTCCTTCGATCAAATCCACGGGTTTTTCTTTGTTTTGCTATTTTGAAATGTGCAACACGTCATCACAAACGACCATCCCATTGCTGTGTGATGCCGAGGCCCATGCTAACCACTCTGATCTCACCCTGGCTCAGTGTACGTACCTATTGATCTCACTCTGTACCCCACACCTATGTGCAATTATTATTTGCCAATTCAAAAGAAGACTAAAGAAAATTCCTTTTCGTGTTTTGGCCAAAGTCTTCAGAAGTGGATCCCGGTTTGAGCTGGGGCTGGTCACCAGATGGGCAGAACCGAGACGCAGCTGGACCCCAGCATTGAGCTCCATCCCTGTCCCCTGGGCTAATGGCTGGAGCCTGCCTTAGGGCCCGAGGGTCATGACGGACCACAGTATTCACAGAATTATTTAAATTGTTCAATTAAAGAAACTTTTAATTCTTTACAGGTCAATATGTGAAGAAGAGAATCCTAGCTCAGTCCCAGGGAAATCTTCTAGAATGTGATGATTTAAACGGAGGCAGGCTCTCTTCCTCCCCCCCCTCCTTCCTCCCCACCCCTCGCCCCTCTTTCTGCCTCCTGGTGGCTCCCAGCCCCTCCTCCACCCTGAGGTACCCATCTTCCCACCTCCATGTGCCAGACACAGTGCCCGGAGGTGGGGATGAGAGCCCTGTTCTCCTTTCTTCTCTAGTTTCCGAGGTGACCCCCGCCAGGCAGCAGGGCTGGCAGCTGAGGTCAGATACACACAGATGGCCCCGTCCTGTCCCAGGCGCCCAGATGCAGCGGGAGCAGGGCACTGGAGATCACCCCTGGGCTCCAGCTCCTGGGAGCTCCCAGGCTCCCAGGGTAACTCCATCTCCCTCCTTGGTGAGGGTTCTCACTTCCGACACCTGAGCTGGTCTGCAACATTTTCCCATGTCGCTGCGAGACGGAGACCTTTATCATCATCATCATCATTATTATTATTATTATTATTAGTTATTATTAGTGGTACCAGGGATTGAACTCAGGGGCACTCGACCACTGAGCCCCACCCCCAGCCCTATTTTGCATTTTATTTAGAGACTGGGTCTCACTGAGTTGCTCAGGGCCTCACTGTTGCTGAGGCTGGCTTTGAACTCAGGGTCCTCCTGCCTCAGCCTCCCGGGGTGCGGGGATGACAGGCATGCACCATCACACCCGGCCTGTCCTTATTACTTTAATGGCTGCAGAATATGCCACTAAGTCACCTCATGGGCATAACTGGCCCCCTCTTGTTGGACACTGGGTGGCTTCTAGTTTTTGCAGCTCTAAGGTGAGAGGTGCCAGCTCTGGAGAGTCTGTCCTTACTGGAGGTTTGTGGGTCCGGTTTGGGTGGGGGAGGGGAGGGGCAGGGTGCAGGGCTGGCAGGGCTACGGGTCTCTCCTGGGCATCCTGCTGCCCGCCTCTGCCCCCACGGAGCCGTGACTCCCTGAATGCTGTCTGATAGACCCGCCTGGGCTTTATCCTGGTGTCAGGACATGACCCCAGTCCCCAGGAAAGCCTCCTTTATCTGACCCGACCTTGACCTTCCTGGGCCTGTGCATCTGTGTCCCCTGCGCCCAGCACCAAAATGCAGGGAAGGAGGAGTGGAGGGAAAGAGGACTGCAGGCGGAGAGAGAGGTCCTCCCTTCCTCGGTCACCCCTCATTAATGGGGCCTGGGGCCGCCGTGGCCCTGGGGGACAGAACATGTTGGCACCGCGTGGTTTATTAGCCTGAACTACACAAACGATGCCTCCCCCCAGGACTCGCCCAAATGAAAATCTGCTTTTCATGAGCTCATCCCCGGGCCCCAAATACATAAGCAGAGAAACAAACAAACAAAAAAAACCTCATGGATTTTTTAAAGAGCTTATTGGGATCGGGGGGAGCTAGCGATCTGAGAAGTCCCGGAGGATCAGCATTCATCACCCTTCACCCTCTTTAATCTTTTTTAATCTTCTTCTTCCCGGTATTAATCCGCACCGCCGCTCGGAGGGATGCTCAGGGGACAGTACCCGCCCGCGGGGCCTCGGGGCCAGTCCCTGGTGGAGGTGGTCTTGGATCCTGTCCCTGTGGAGGGGGCGGGGGTCTTGGATCCTGTCCCCCGTTGGCCCTTATTTGTGACTGGGACTCGAGGTATAGAGATCATCATGCGGACATCAAGCTTCTTGGCCATGAGTGACACTTGAGCATGCCATTCCCTGAATGTCACCCCTCGCCCAAAGCTGAGCGGTTTACAAGGTCTTGGGAGGAATCCCGGGTACTGGAAACTCCCAGGAGGCCAGCACTCTCCATTTGGAGACCCCCCCCACCCCCCACTGTCCAGGGTCTCAGTGAGGGTCTCCAAACGCCTGCCGCTGGCATTTCCAAGATGCACAAAACTCCGGCAAGATGGCTGAGCCCCGGATGGGACGGTGTCCTCTCCCGACACCTGTGACATGAGGGCTGTTGTCATTTCTGTGTTACCCAGGAGCAGATGGAAGCTTACACAGAGAGGGTTCCCTGGGCCCACGTCACACACAGCAGTGATGGGCGCCAGGCTGCGCTGGAGGAGGGGAAGCCCCTCCTACCTGCCTGCCGACTCCCCCACCCCACGGCCATCCAGGGTCTTCCAGGTCCCCGCTGTGGAGACGCCTGGAATTCCTGCAGATGGCCTGGGTTATTCTAAGTCACAGAAGCAGGACCCTGAGTAGGTCTAGGGGACACCCCAGTTTCTGATTCCCCAGGACAGAGTCAAAACACCACCACCCCGTCCAGCCCCCGGCAGCTCAGGTCCATAAAGTCTGACTGGCACAGAGCGCTGCTCCTTCACTGATGCTCGCTGTGTCCCCGCAGGCCATGACGGCTGAGTCGGGCCCCAGGCCCCCTGTGGCTACAGGCCATATTGATATTATTAACTGGGTGCTGTCTGGCTCTTGGGGAACTTCCCCCTGATCTCTGGAATCCAGGATGATCGTCGTCTCTATCCCATAATCTAGGGCCATCGGCAGCAACGACGGTAATAAGGGCAGATCAGGTTCCTCAAGTGCGAGGAGCTGGACCTGTGCTGGTCACTGCCTTGGACTGTCTCATGACATCGTCCAGCATCACCTTCCAACCTGTACTCAGGGAGGTGAGCGACGTCCCCACAGTGGCAAAGCCGGGGGGACCTGGGGTCCAAGACGGAGCTGACTGACAAGTAAAGGGCAAAATGCCTACAGTGTCCCCAGGCGGGACATGCCGGAAGCTTCTCCTCCAATGCGGGGGTGTTGAGAGGTGGTGGGGCCTTTAACAGGTGGGATCTAGTTAGGGGTATGTAACATTGGGGGCACCATCCTCGAAAGGGGTTAATGTAGGACTCCAGGCGGTTCCCACAGAGTAGCTCTTACAAAAAGAGGAAGGTGACCCCGGCACCTCTCTGGCTTCTGTCTTGCCACGTGATCTCTCCTGTATGCAGCTCTGACACCAAGTTGGCCGCCATATTGTCATGAAACCAGAAGGCTCGAATCACAGCCAGGCAGGTGGGGGCTGCCTGATCTTGCACATTCAGCTTCTCGAATTATGAGCTAAACAAACCTCTTTTCTTTATAAAGTTCCCCAGCCTTGAGTATTTTGTTATAGCAACAGAAACATACTAATACTGGGAGTGACTTTCACATAAATTCTCTCTATCCAACGTCTGCCATTTGTGTTACGTTGGGCTGGGAAGTGATACAAATTGAGCAAAGGACAGTCTCTGTTGTTGATGCCCCTGCAGGCTTGAGGGAAAGGCAGAGCTCCATCTAGCTCAGAGGTGAGATGGACAGTCATGAAAAACAGACTCAGAAAAGGGGGTCAGGGAAGGGACCTTCAAGGTGACCAATGTATTGGGTTCCTCAGCGATAAGCAGACATTTAACAACTGAAAGGAGAGAGGAGACAGGAGAGAGGAGAGGAGGAAAGAGAAGGAGAGAGAGGGAGAGA